ATTATTACTTTCTATTTTATTCAAGCTTGCCTGGTTTAAGTTTTACAGCAGTTTTTGTATATTTCTGAACTAGAAAACTCTTTTAAGATTTTTAAAAAATATTATAGTAAGAACATGTTACTATATAGTAGGTAAAGAATTCTTGTATGTGTGTGTATATATATATATATATATATATATATATATGTATATATATATATATAACCATTATGGTTATGATTTATTTACAACCATATGGTTATGATTTATTATCATGTTAAAACTGGAACAGAACCTGCTTTTAATTGAATGCTGGTTTTCTGATGGAATCAAATGGCTTTCAAGAAAGTACAGCATCAATAAAAGGGAAATTCAACTGTCCCAACTTTAAAACACACAGGTTCTTGAAATCAGTACTGACACAGTGCTTCTCAAACTCTACTCCCACCCACCAGTAGTTAAAACTTTAAGACCACAGGACAGAGCTCAGGATAGAAAAAGGAAGCTATATTAAGTCAAATTTCTATTAGACAAAAGGTGATGATAAACATCTGTTTTATTAGTTATCTAAATGCAAGTTGATCTTGTTTGAAAGGGACCTAAGGATAATCGTGGCCACACAAGTTCCCTTCAAAAACACGTGGCCCAAGGAAAGCCATAGTCACTGAGCCATGGGGATGCTCACAGCAATTAGCAAAACTGTAGTGACCAAGGACTGTAACCCTCCTCACAACATACTTTTGTTCTCAAGTTTTCACAGATGCAATTCCCTCTGGAGCTGTTCTGACACAGCAGTGCCTCACTGATACCTGAAAACATGCTGAAGACCACTATTCTAATCTTGGAGATCATGATCTTTTCTCAGCCACCGTGCCTCCCTTGAGGAGTAAAGTAAGACTATCCATACTCAGTGTGAACTTCAGTGTTTGAGCCATAAAAAAGAAAAAAAGATGTTTGGGTATATTTCTGTCACCATAAATATGAACCAGCTACTAAGGCTAAGGGAAGCTCCATGTATGCTCTGGGATGGAATCATACCTTCAAAACCATGAAAGAGTCATCTCAGCTAAAAGAGGTTGACTTGCACCTATGTCATGTATGAGGAAGAGAAGGACTAGGAGTCATTCAGCTACCGAGTGTTTCCTTCTAGATTTCACTTTATGGCCATAATGGCTTAGCAATTTCAAGTTTGTATGTGACTTAATGGTTTCATCTTACTACTCTCTGACAAAATATCTAAACTTGGGTTTACTATCATAGAAGACCAACACTTCAAAAATAAAACCATATGGTTATAAAACACTTTACACATTAACCCTAGGCCAAATTTCATGAGGAGACCAATGGGATAAATTCTCAGGGAAGCCTGTTAAATAATAAGTATCAAGGAAGTGATAATCAGACAAGCAGCTCTAAGGCTATGTGATCCTTACATGTCTCCCTGGAAATCTGTAAGGTATTTCCATAAATTCTGTATCCACTGCAAACTCCAGACTGCAATTTCACTTAAAGTTGAACATGGAATTGTGAGACGTTATTGCATTGTTGATAAATGTGAAAAAAAGTCAACCCCTTCTGAAGTTATTGTACCAATGAGCACAGTACTTCTACAAGAGTTAAAGCTCAAAAGCAAAATGATGAGAAAAAATGTCTTATCCACTCAGCTAATTCTGTAACACATGAAAACTGAAACTAAAGATACCGCATTTGGTGAACGCCCATCTAACACGCATGTAAAGTTTTAAAAGATCAGGAAAGGAATAAAGGGGGATAAAAAACAAATCAATCTAAGATAACCAAGGAAGATAACTGCATAATGCAAAAACACAACTCCATAGCAACAAAATAGAAGAAGTTATTTATGTAGATTTACAACTAGATGAGCTCCAGATGTATTTTTAATCTACTGTCCACAGGTGTTTTTCTGCTTAATAAATATAACATCCAAGTTGGAATATTGTTAAAGCATTGAATCACCTAAATTTTGGCTATGCTCTTCTGCTGTTAACTATTTTGAGCTATTTCTCAATCAGGCAGCCGCTTCTGAAATCCTAAGTTCAGAGGCTTGGCAGAGCCAGAAAGAAAAAGTGCAGTCCACAGATTTGTTTCTTCTGTTTTCCCAAAACAGAATCTCATAAAAAAATATGCCCTCAAATTTTGTCACTATGTAGCTGTCAGAAAGAGCTGTTCTGTTCCTCTTTGTAACTCTGAACATTAAAACCATCCCTTGTGCTACTGGGAAGTTATATAGCTCCAGGAAGCCATGAGGCACCATCGCAACTGTTGAGATTGTATTCAGGCAGAATAATCAGTCAATCAGAAACTTCAGTCGCAGTAGGATGGAAGTTTTTTGGGCCAACTTGGATAAGCACACAGGACAAGTTTGACTTTACTGCCAAGCTCACTTCCAGGACATTGGCTAATTAATTATAAAAGCTTTTCAAAACAAATTTAAGCCTGGCAACCTTTTTTCCTACCCCAACAGAGGAAAATCAGGTTAAAAAATTAAAGCCTAGATTCACTGTGTTAAAACAAGTCTTTAAAAAAGGGGGAGTGGGGTCAGATTTATCGTATCTTCATCTTATTTGCAAGTCCATCTTTTCTTCTTACCCTAAAATGACCTAGGGCCTTCTATATTTCTAGTTACTAAGAAAGAAGGTACAGAAAGAAACTGGAAATACTAATTTGAATTCCTCCCCTACTTTTGGTTGTGGAAGACATCATAAATCAGTCACAGTTCCTCTTCAAGCTCTTTGGTAGGAAGCAAAGAACAGATTTTCTTCCTCTTCTTGGGCAGAAGAGCACATTAGATTAAGTATAATTACTGTAATAGACACACCATTTGAATCGACAGTTGCTCTTATAATAGTATTTTTACCAACCTTCATTTGCTCGCTTTGAAAACAAGAGGAACAAAACTCTTGAGTTAAACCTTTGGGCTTCATCTTAACATGAACTTTCATGACTTTGAGATGTTAATGATAGGCAATGAAGATTCTGGTTTTAAGGACCCAGTCACACAGGTTTTATAGCAAAATGAACTTCAAAATATCATAATATCCCAACATATTTCTTCTATCACTAGAAACAAAATATCATGCAATTTGTATCATAAGTCATCAAACTTCTTCTACATATACCCAAATATGAAAAGATCCAAGAAGGTAGGAAATTTCTCTCAGCCAGAATTTACCAGCTGCCTATGACAAATTCTTGGCCAGAGGAGGGCTGTTCCTAAAAAAAGAATTCCTCAAAAAGTCTTGTCAACCAGATATACCTAACCTAACCAGTGTACTGCCTTACCCAATTTCAAGATCCCTGGCAAACAACCTAAATAGTCAACACTGCTTGGTAAATACTGAATGAAGCCAAATGTGCAAAAGAGCTTTGAAGGAAATCCTAGTGGTCTGGGTCTCCCTCTTCTGCTACAGGTACACACCTACCAATGTATCCAATATTTAAGTGATTTTCTCCCTGATTATTTCAGGAGTTGAGCAGGTGGAAGGGAGGAGAAAATCCACATCAGCATTTGAGGGAGGAGGCATTCAAGGAGTCAACAATTAATCTCAAGGCAAAGGTGGAGGAAAGTGATCAGTCCTGATCAAAAGAAGAAGCCCCTCTTTTGGAGAACAAGAATAAGTAAATGAAGATAGGAAGGACAACACCAGATTTCAGAGGATCTTTAAAGTCAGGAAATTCCAAACTTAACTGGATAGTTTCCAATTCGGAGAAGAAAAATGAGGGTAATAATATGAAAAGCACATTGAACTGGGAGAAAGTGGGAATAAAGGTTTAGTTCTAAAGGTTTTTCTAACAATCCAGATTGGAGATGATGACAGCCCTATTTGAGTATTGCTGGTGGAAAGGAGAAGGTAAAAAGAATCCAAGAGCCATTTCATAAGAAGGAATATAATTTCACCTTTCCTGTTCTTTTTAAAATTCACCACCCCTATAAACCTCTGTCACTACTACAAGAGCTGCCAGTTAAAGAAGAACACTGTCATAAATATTGCCTTTTTTAGAAAAAAAAATAGCAAAGTGTGAAAAAGAAATCTTCAAAACCACCCTACTTAAAAGAGAAAGAAAGGAAGAATAAGGTCACATAAATGATACACAATTAGCAATGTCAAGCATGAAGCCAACTAGAATCACACTCTCCTATATCAAAGGACAAAAGGAGCAAGAATCAGATACTTGATTTTCTGAAGTGAGCCATATATTACTGTTTCCACTTAACAAAGTAGAAAACTGGGGTTCATTACATAACTATCTAGTTTTGAAACAAGTTCCAAGTCCATGGTACTTGCTTTTTGTTTCTTACTCTTTCCAACATAGCTACCTCCCCTACAACCCTGAAAACGGGTTGGGGTTTCTGTCCTTTTAAAAATATGCCACTTTGATTTATTTGAAGCCATAACTTCTTTATTAATCAGGAAGCATCCTTTTATAAATATTGATAAACTATATTCTTGAAATACATCTTTCCACAGGTAGATACAGCCAACTGGGAAAATGGCCCACATTCTTTTGAAAAGAAAGCAGATTCAAAACCCAATTGCTCTTCATTTCAAATGGTTACTTGCTACATGTTTTAATAGACAAACAAATATAAAGCTAGAGAGATGATTTAACAATCAGTACCTGGGCCTGCTGTATCCCTCCAAAATTAACAACTGCCAACATTTCTTAGCTGTTTATAGTTTACCCAAACACTTTCATAAATTATCTCATTTAATCCTCACAATGCTCCTGAGTCAGAGGTTATTACTGTTTGAAAGCTAATCAACTATAGCTCCAAGGTTTAAAATGCCCAAACCATCACCACCCACAAAGGCTGGAATCAAGACGTAAATTCTGTTCTGACTCCAGAACTCTTCACATACTGGTTACCTTCCCTCAGGTAAAGTGCAAGCATAATGGTCCATGTTACGTGAGGCAACCATCATCTCTAATCTTTTCCTAGCATTGTTTAGACACACATTCACTTGTACATTTCAAAGAGTCAAGGATTCTTTGCTTACCTGGTCCTTCTCTGGTTTATCAGAAATGTCATTCAGACTGGAGGAAGTCAGATTCCTATGGGTCATGGCTGGACTACCTGGAAAAACACAAGTGATTTCTCATTAAAGACATCTCTTCAAGACTAAGACCTTGGTTGTATAATTCATAAACACTAGTAGACAAAGATGAGAATGATGATGATGCTTTTAAACACATTAGGATTCTCCTGAAGAATTTTCCAGAATTCAGGTTGGAGTACAAACATGGTTAAGTGGAAAATATTCAAAAATCCCAAATACTTTAAAAATCTTATTACCTGGTTCTACTTCAAGACAAGTTAAACTTTGAAATAAACTTCTAGGACAATAAGCATAAAGATAAATTTCCTGGGCTAGGGTTATAGCTCAGTGGTAGAGTGCCTGCCCCGCATGCATGGGGTGCTGGGTTCGATCCTCAGCAACACATAAAAATTTAAAAAAAAAAAATAATAAAGATATTATGTCCATCTACAGCTGAAAAAAATTTAAAATAAAATAAATTTCCTCTGGTTTGGCTCACTACTATCACTGCCTTCTCATACACATGTTAATATCCCTGGTTTCTTTTCCTTTTCCATGGCCTGTAGAAACCAATTCCTTCCTCATCAGCAGCAGAGCTGGCCCCTGGGTGCAAGCCTGGACCTCCTCTCCCCCAGGCCTTGACAGTCCTTCCTAGAACACCACTTTACTCTTTTTGATGGACCAGAAAAGCCACCTGCTTTCCCTTCTCTGAGAGAGATTTCAAACAGAATAGTTCTCCTTAGTGGGTATCTGATTTCTGGAATCCCCACTCTCTGCCTCACAGTCATATTCTCACAGGCTCCCCTGCTTCTCTGCATTTCCATTTGGCAATCTAAAATAAACACAGCCCCTTTGCCTCCTCAACATGCCAGACTTCTGCTTCAAGTCACAGGATAAATTTCATCAGGAATACTACATGGGAACCAATCTTCTCAGCACTATCACAGTTGTGGATAAAATTAATTGGCAATCCCTCCAGTTATTCTAGAAACTGTTACACACAAGTATAAAGAAAAAACATCAAGAACAGCCATAGATCATGTTCAGGTGGACCATGTTAATCAACAGAATACTGAACTTGCATTCTGCAGTTGGACCTGAAACTTGTGGGCTTACTAAGCAAAAGAGTAACTTTTTCAAATCCAGGGTGTTTGACCCAACCCCTGCAGGGTGCTGAGCAATGCATTCATTATTAATCCTCAATGATCTGACTCAGGTTGGTCTTCACAGCAAAAGGACAAGGGTTGAAAAGAAGCACAGAGGTTCAAATAGAGCGTCACATTGGCTTCAAAATCATCCTTTAGATTACAGACTAATTCCTTCACATAGAAACCCCAACACCTAATTTTACAAGAGACGAAAACCTACTCCTATTAAGTTAATTCTATGTAAAAGCAGTTCTTTAAGTAATATAATAGCCTTTAACTACCAGATCAGAAAAATCATAGTTTTCTTGAGCTGGCAAGACAGGGTATTTTCCACTCTGCTGCATTTCATTGAGTAAGCATGGCCTAGATCTCTTAAATCCTTTACCTGATGGGCGTTTTATTCTAGGAAAATTTGAGCACAGGGCATTATTTAAAGGAAAGTAACATTGGCAAAAGTGCTTCATAAGCAAAATTAAAAGAACCCCTCTGAAGGTGATATTTTCTGCTTTGAACTGTAACCTCTTTCTAGTGTCCATACAAAAGACATCTGGTACAAACTTGAATGCCCCCAAATAATGCTGAGATTGATTCTAATAGAAATGATGAATGGATACAATTTTGCACTTTATATTTAAAAACAAACGCAGTTATTTGAACTAACACAGTGAAAGGTCTGCCTGAGTGAAGAAATCTGAATTACATACTCCTAAAGAAATGTAGTCTTAGCAGTCCTAATAAGACTTACAAGTTAAAAGCAGCTTGTGTAGGATGAATACTCCAGACTGATTTCTAATTACCAATCAAATGTATGTTATTGGCTATGTTGAAATAATCTGAAAGCAGTTTTTCATTAAACAAGTTAAATTCCCTGGGCAACAGCCTAAACATATTGATTTGTTTGAAAGCTCTAAATACTGCAAAGGTATATTTCAGCTCAATCACCATCCTAATTGCTACAACCATAAGGAGGTAAACAACAAATAGATAAGGTTTTTTATGATAATGGTAAATTTGACTGATGTGTTAACTTTTCTAAGAAACCTCATATAGTACCTCATCATTTTTCTCACTTCTGAAATGTTATAGTACAACTATCTATATTTATTCTAGAAGGTGAGGGGGGTGGTTTCAGAAGAAAGCCCAGGTTGAAGGAAGATGCAAGAAATAGATGAGAAAGAGAAGGCCAATGTTAAGAAACAATCAAATCTATTGCCCCTTCTTAACTTTATCCAATTCCCAGTATTAACAGCTTCACCAACATTTAACCTTGTGATATGCTGTAAGAGCTCAGGAGTCAAAGCTCCCAGGTAACTAAGCATATAATCAGTATTCTTCAATTTTTTCCCTCTCTCTCCCTATCAAACTTCCCACCCCCATTCCACAACACCTTGAACAGGGACAGATGCTTCCCAATGCTCTTAATCAGTGGTTCCAAGTGTGGTCCCTAGACCAGCAGCATCTGTTTCCCTTAGGTACTACTTAGAAATGCAAAATTCTTGAGGCTCACCCCAGACCAACTCTATCAAAACTCTGGGTAGGGAGCATAGCAACATAGGTTTTAACAAACCTTCTAAGTGATTCTGAAACATGATAAAGATTGAGAACCACTGCTCAAAATAAAATAGTCATCTTAACAGTGTATGTCTACTCAGAATTGGAACTGGAAGAAGCACATTTAAGTCGGAGTAGCCAGAAGGGTAATTCTAGTAACTTGCCCTCATCCAAATCACTGCTCCACAACTGTCCTATCTCAAGCAAAATCATTTGATTAGCATCCTTACCACATAAACACACAAAAGAATCCTATTTGGTTTTCCTTTGAGTCCTCACCTATACAACTAAATAAATAAATACTTTGTTTTGGAAACTCACTGATCAGACTTTTCCAGAAATGTATTATCCAAATCAAAGAAGACAGGACAAGAGCCAAATGATTACAAACCAGATTACATGTGGGAATCAGAAATTTGTGTGTGGATTTCAGCAAACCCAAGAAGCTGTTACACAACGGGTCCCTAACAACACATTCTATTGTGTACATTTTGCAACTGACATGCACTAAGACACACTGTCAGAATAAATCAGTGCATTCTATTTAGAGTTTGGGCCTACAATACAAATTTATTATACTACAATCCTGAGGGAGTTAGGGGACTAGAGAAAAATGTCACCTTGTACCAAACAGATGAAATACAAACATACCCTAAAGTGGGACAGGTGGTGAATCACTCAAAGCTACCATTGCAGATCCTGCCTTTTCTTTTCTTTTCCTTAATTAGAGGTTTATAGCTATACAGAGTAGTTGATTCATTCAGACCAACTCATACATGCATGGAATTTGATTTCAGGACATACAAATGTCTTAGCCCTGATTTTTATCCAAAGAAACTTTGTGGGTTTTTTTTTTTTTTTAACGGTTGTTTTTTTTTAAGAGAAGAACTAGTCTTGAGTGCATAGTCATAATTAATTTCCATATCACTGTTTTCTAGCCATAAGGGGGAAAAATAAAAGCTTTGGAGAATCACATTTTCAAGCAGTTTCACACAATCAAAAACAATTTCATTTGCAAAGTACCCATTTGGCAGGTACATACTGTTTCTATAAAAATTAATTACATTCTGTACTGTTTGAAAATCATTGTTATTCTTTAGCATACATGTAGCAATTCATAAAGTCCTTTGCAATTCTACTAGATATAATGGGGTATAGAGAATGCATGGCATGGAATGATACTTAAATATGTACATAAAAATGTAAATATGTATAAACACAATGGCAGCCCCCTCATCTCAAACTACATAATGAGCCAACAGAGAACACAGGGACAAGTTAAAACAAATAGCTCAGGTCTATGAAATACACTGGGTTCTTTTTTCTTAAGAATATATAACATTTTCAGAATAAAAAATAACTAAGGTAAAATACAAGTTACAGATATATAAGTTCATGTTAGAAAATTCAGAGGTATGAATCTAATCTGCACTGTGTAGGACCATAAACTAAATAGTAAATGTAATTTCAGGAAAATGCATGTGCTATACTTTGGATATGGAATGCTCCCTACCCCTGTCCCCTGTATTGAAGGTTTAGTCCTTACCCTGTGGGACTGGGAGTTGGTGGAACCTTTAGGAGATGGAACTTAGTAAGAAGAAGGTAGGCCATTGGAGATAATACCATGAAGTAAACAGATGTTTTCTGCCACAACTTCCCACCATGATGTACTATTCTACCACTGGCCCAAAGCAGCAGGACCAAGTGACCATGAAATAAATCACTTAGAATACTTATAATAATACTTCTAAAACTTGAGCCAAAATAAATCTTTCCTCCTTGCAAATTGTTTATCTCAGGTATTTTGTTGCAGTGACAAAAATCTGACTAACAGCTTGTTAATGTGTTCTGTATCCCCATTGACTCCACTGATAATCCTCCCTGCTCTATAGACATAACAAACTTACTGAAGATGTCTACATCCAAGCTTAATGATTAACTAATCTCTTTGAGTACATATCTTATTTAATTTTCATATCAACACTGGAAGATTGGTATTATTATTACCACTTAATGTTAAACAAATGAACTTCAAGAAGGTTAAGTTCATGATTACAACCGAAATTTAAAATTAGATTTCTTAATACCAGTCCCACCTCCTCTATAAAGAAAACTGCTCTATGCTATTTACACAAATAAACACATGTCCTTCATCATGTCAATGAAGAGAAAGTATAATGTACAACCATGAAGAATATATCCTATTTCCGTGCCAACTGTGTACAACATAACATTGCTGAGGGTGTTTGAGACAAATATGTTCTAGGTTTTCAACTTAGCTGTTCCCAAAGACGGAATCTGTATTTCTTCACTTTTTCATTTTCATAAAGAAAAGAACA